CGGACGGGGCCCGGCGTCACCCCGTAGAGCACCCCGGCTCCGGCCAGCATGCCCAGCACCTGGGCCAGCAGGTAGCCCAGGGCTCGGAGCAGGGAGAGCTGCGAGGCCATCAGGAAGGCCAGCGTGATGGCCGGATTGACGTGGCCACCGCTGACATGACCCAGCGTCTGCACTACGGTGGTCTGGGCCAACCCGAAGGCCAGGGCGGCCCCCAAAACGCTGGGGGGGCCCGGGACCCAGCGCAGGGAGGCCCCCAACCCCAGCAGGGCATAGAGGAGGCTGCCCAGGAACTCGGCCAGGACGGCCCTCCAGAAGGAGGACGAGCGCAGCTCCCGCATGGCCTGGCCCCGCTGCCCTCCACGGCCCCGCTCCCCTCCCCGGGGGCCGCCCGAGCCCACCTTTATAAGCCCCCCCCGGGCCGGCCCCGGGGGTGGGATCGCACCTCCGCCACCCCCCCGCCGTCCCCCGTTAACCGCTTCGGTGCCCGGGGGCACGGGACAGGTGACAGGCGACGAGGAACCCCCCCGAGTCCCCCCAGAGCTGCGCTGTCCCCACCCCTGGGGTGGCCCGGGGAGAGGCGGGGGCTGTGACCCACGGGTGACCCACGGGTGACCCACGGGTGACCCACGGGTGCCCTCGGTGGGGTTCGGGGGACACCCCCGCTCGGGGAGCAGCGCTGACACACCTCCCACCCCCACAAACGTTTTTGGGGACATCTTTTAGGGACGGGAGGAGCCCCGGCTGGGCCCCGCTGGGGGTGTCCCCCCCCTTTGTCCCCCGGGCCGGTGCTGTTGTCTGCGGGAGGGTTTATTCAGCCCGGCTTAGCGGGCGCTCAGTCCCCCGGCTGGGGGGATTAAAGCTCGGCTCAGCTATTGGAGCCCTCCGGAATCTGCCGGGGCTGCAGAGGCCGCCACAAAGCGCTTTGCTGCGCTCAGCTCCCCGGCACGGGACGGGGCTGACGGGGGGTCCCGGCCCCCGCCCCGACCGGGGGGGCCGCGGGGAGGGGGCACCCGCAAGCCCCGGTGATCCCCGGTGGTCGAGACCCCCACCACGGTGCCSTCACAGCATCGCTCTGCGACCCCAACACACCTTTAATCCCCCCACCCCGGGGGACAGGAGAGTAAAAGGGGAGTGGGTGCCCCGTGGAAGGTTCTGGCAGCGGCGGTGATCCGGTGTYGGGGTGCGGAGGATCGCGGGGGATGGGGGGGTTCAGGCGGTTCCCTGATCCCGCTGCTCGCCCGGGGGCACCGGGGGACCGTGGGCCACCGAGGAGGGGGACAGGCTGGGGGTCTCCACCAGAGCCACGTCCCGGCAGGCGAGGCAGGCGCTCAGCTTCTCCCGGGACGCTCCCGGCGCCAGGATGAACTCGTACGAGAGCCCGGCCAGCAGCGCGCCCAGCAGCGGACCCAGCCAGTACAGCTGGGGGGACAGGAGACGGTGTGGGGGTGTCCCGGGGGTGGGGGACACGGGGGGACAGCTGGGCTGGACAG